GTCAAAAAAAAGTTTTACACTTTGTAGCTTTGAAAAATAAAAGTGTGACATTTACTTTATTGTTTGTGTTATTTTTAGTAAACTATGCTTTATAGTTTTTGTTACATCAGAAATCATTAAAGTCGGCGTATTACGACAAATTAGTATATGATTTGCGTCAAATTTTATATGTAATTTCTCTAGTTAACTCGCGGATCGTCAATTAATCTATAAATGTCTAAATACAGAAAATCGCTGTTTTGACTTTTGATTAAGTCCAAGTTTTATTAGTTAGTATTATGTAATTGTTTTTTAACTCATTCAATAACAATTCAATTTTTAAATTTTTAGATCTCATCCATCCTCGTGACACGCATCCATTAGTTGGGTGCTTTTTTTTTTAATTCGTTCGATTATCCGTTTGTATATTTATAGGTTGATTTGTATCCTTAAGTATTATGTATATTTTAAATCTAGAAGTATATTGAAATAAAATTTCCAATGTAGTTAGTATCTTATTTTTACAATGTGTTGGTCTAAAAATATGGTTTAACATTAATCAATAGAATTTAGGCGAGTTTCTTTTGGAAGATGATATTATTATTTATAAAAATATTTTTTTGTTACTGGTGAATTTTTTTTTATTTTTTCAGATCAGATAGTATCGAAAGGACGAATATAATCATATAACTCAGCTTGAAAAATTGGAATTATTAAAACATTTTTTTTCTCTTTTTATCTGCACTTTTTGCTTTAATAAATTAGAATTGTGCAAATTTGATACATTTTTTTAAAATTCGTTGGTAAACGATCGCCGGATATGGTAGAAATATCATACTATCACATGATTTTACAAACTAGTTGATGAACAATCGTGTTCCTCGACAAATATGAACGAGAAACAATATCTTGAATTAATAGCTGGAAAATTACTTTTGAAATTGAATTACAATTAAACAATTAATGAAATTGAATAAGCAGTGTAAGATAATTTTAGATAAATATGATATAAATTCATTATTTAGACAACTGAAGTTAACATCTAAATTTCCACGTTCCAACCTTTGTTTTATCATTGCAAATCTTTCATATCTTCTCTAGATTGTATTTTTTCATTTTCATTCCATAATTTTTATAGTCAGACTTCAATATACCGATATTCGATATTCGATACATATTAAAAACTCGATATAACAGATAACGATAAATTTGATAAATTTTTATCTTTCCCACTATATGAGAGAACATATAGATATCAGTAACTTCCTCAGTCTTAATAACTTCAAATTCACTTTTGATAACTCTTTCTTCTATTTTTAATGGAGCGTACGTAGCCAACATGCTGGTCTATAATGAATATGTAAAACAGTTTCCGGAACCGTTTTCCGTCATTTTGATATCTTGATTTTTTTGAAACATGTAGAAACTTTTATTCCCATTCCAATTCCAATTGATTCAGGAACTTGTACTTTTTTCTACTTTATTTATGACGTAATTCAAATTCAGGTAGACGAAGATAGCACCAATTTCTCTAAGTACCTGCACTACATGCATACCTTTATTATTATTTGAATCTTATTCGCTATCATTTATTCAATTGGTAGCATCAAATTTAAATAAATGTTTTTGTCATTGTTCTTTAATAATAAAAGAATCGTATGTTATATAATGTCATATGTTTATCGCTCAATTTTGAATATTTTTATTTAATACAATGATAATAGATGACTACAGGACCTTCATATGTATTCGATAAAAAAACTGGACGAAAGACTAAAAGATATATACAGTATTTTTTGTGATTTAAAGGTTACAAAATAAAATATTTCATATTCTTTTGATATCTTTAATAATAATTACCTCGAACTTTTGGTATAGCGATAAAATATATTACGCAGCTGTTGAAGAAATTGGAAAGAATTACGTTTTACAGTTTGACGCTTCATCTAGATAGTAATCATCAATACTTAAAGTTATTTATTGATGGAAGTGAGATCACACTTATAAACAAATTTAAAAAACTACACCAAAATCAAGAAAAGTATGTTCGCTACATTCTTTTAATGGCTTGTTATTTTGGCTTGTTATTTACTAATATCTTTAAAGAAAATCCCGAATATATCATTTTTATGTAGTAATTAATATTGATGATAAAAATAAATTTTCAGTGTTAAAAAATAAATAATGGAATTAAATGAAAAATAAGAGTGAAATTTCGAGAATTTTTATTTTTTTAAAAATAAGCTCAACTTTTAGAACAAATACGAGATTGATTGTAGTACAGTTAAATAATCTGGTTTTAAAGTAGTTACAGTAACAGTATTTATACATAAATACATACTTCCCTTCGCAGATTACACCAGCCACTCATGCATTAACGGATATGATGATGAATGAGTTCTAAAAGACAACAATTAAATGAGTTGAAAGATTTGGAAGACAAACCCTAGTAATAAAAATAATAATAAAAGAGTAGAAATTATTGCTTATACGCTTTATTTTATTCATAAGAGAAAACAATCCATAGAGATTTACTTGTTAAAAATAAAAACTCAACGCATTTAAAGATTTTAAGAGTTGCCAAAAAATCTACAAAAGTAACAATCGTAAAGAAAAAGCACAAGTCGATGTCTGATTGCTGGATCAAGAAATGAATAATGCAATTGTGAACGTCGAATTGCAATTGTTAAGCGAGTGCTTACATTTTGTAGACTTGCAGATACAACAATCATAATTCATTTCTGCTGTATCAAATATGCTGCGTGACCATCCCACGATGGACACAATTAATGGTACGAGACCAAAAATTGTAACGGAAGGCCGATTTTATTACGATTAACATACAGTACAAGTAAAATCTTATAGTATATTAATTATTTTATTTGTCTGTTATAATAATTTTTTTTATTTAGGTCGAGATTCATAATAATCCAAATCTTCACCAAGAACAAAATGGTTAGATAATTCTTTAAAATTATATAAAAAGGAAATAATACACTTTTTATCTTAGTTTGTAAATTTAAATAATTTTATGTATACAATATAAAATCATTTGTTTTACGTATCTCGAATTTTCTTGTATGTTCGACTCTTAAGGAGGAATTTTATTTAAAAGTGGCGCAACTTGGTGCATGATTTGTTAATTCCGCCTGATACTCCTTTAAACTATCGCAGAAATTAAGAAAGATTATAGGGATTTTACTATTTTACTAATGTGATGACCTAAGGGGTGCATCATAAAAAGGGGGGGAACTTACACAAATTATATTTTTATAAAATTCATATGCAAAATATTAATTGTGCTCATAACCTCGAATTTATTTTTGTGACATTATTTACATTATTTATATTATTTATATTATTTATATTAAATGCGGGAGAAATTGGCTATTATAAGTTTATAATAGAATATTATTTCGATCGTCAATTCGCATTATATATAATCATCATTAACGAAGGTATCACAACATTCATTGGACGAGATCCACGTTTTTGTGGCATTTATCAATAAAAGAAAATGTCGGCGCAGCACACAGACCAATTAAAGTATATCCTACCTTTAAAGGGAAACAGAAGACTCCGATTATTAAATATGTTCATCGCCACTCATGCAGCCTTTCTATATTTTAATAGAATTCTTTGTGACTGTTACGTGTGGAGAAGATCATAATCTAAATTTGGGGATTGAAATTTTAATTTTTATATAAACTCTAGATTTACTTTTTGTATCCCTTCACTCTCTTTATTTTTTTCGCTTAGTTCCCTTTAAGTAATAGAGACGTATCATATATTTTATCCTCCTTTTTATTATCGTCATTAAATTAATAGATAAATTGCATGTTATGTTTGTTACATTTTTTGATTTAAATAGAATTCTATAGTAAATTTCCAAAAATTGTTTGTCATTATTACGACTATTGCATTATTAACATTTGCATCATATTTGCATCAAAAAAGTTGTTTTTTTTTTTTTTTTTTGAAAAAAAGAGAAACCTTATTTTTTTTTGGAAGATAATTTTAGTTTCTCCTTAACATTATTACATAAAAATATCGCATAAATTACCACGTTACAAAAAAAAACTACACTTTTACTCACACAAATATTAACCATACACAAAAGATCATATTTCTTCTTTCAATGTCATAATTCTACATTCTTTTATTTTCCAACGGGGGAAGAAATAAATAAATAAATAAAAACATCCCTTTTTTAAAAAATTATTTATTTCCTAAAAAAATCATGATGACTGGCCCCTTTTCTTCAAAAAAAATATCGATATGTAATTTAATATTTAGTTTTTTATTATTATTTGGAAATTATTATATAAATTATGTTGATGCAAAATTATTATTATATGACAAAGAAAATAATGAGATTGATTCTTTAAAAAATTTTGATTTATCATTTTTAAAAAATTCTGATAAAAATAATTATTATAATAATGACGTTATTATTAGAGGAAAAATAGAATTTGCTAAATTTATAGAGAGAGATCAAAATGAATCTGATGGTTTATTATTTGCTCCTTGTACTCTAAATCCTATTCCAATAGGAGTTGCTTTATTGGTTATTCCTTTTGGTAGTGTTAATGGTACCCAATCTTGTGATACATTGTCTGACTTGATATTAAGGTGAGTTGGTAAGTTTAAGTTATTTGAACTTTAAAATTTTTTTCTCTTGTAAGAAATTAAATAATTTTTTCCTTGCAGGAATAAATGGATAACACAAGATTTGATCTTACCCGATAATTTTCAAAATGGTTTGCCCGAAGGAACGACAATATTACCTAATGGAACGTATTCAATACCACAAAATAATCCATCATTACTATCAACAAAAACATTTTCAAAAAGAAATGAACATTTTATAAATAGAAATGAAATGAATAATAAGATCATAATGAGAAAACGAGGAGAGTCAACTTCTGGAGTACCGCAAGTTATTTTATTTACATCTATGAATAATGGAGATCCCGGAATTAAAGAACCATTTGCGGTTGATCGTGATTTATTTAAAGATTTTAAAGTGGGCGTAACCCTGCTCCTTAGAAATGACATGTTACATTTGGAATCTCTGACTTCAACAATAGATAATGTTGTTATTACCTCAGGTAAGAGAAAAATTAATCTATTTTTAATAATAAATTTATAGCCATTTCACCTACCCCGCAATCTTTTCTTACCTTTATCTTTTTTTATCTTTATAAAGATGTTGGTCCATGGATGAGGTTAATTAATAGTCAAGATTTACTAGCATGGACAATTAATTGGGGAGTAACTTTTGGTGCTATATTTGCATTTACAATATATTCCATAATATGCTTCCTTGATTTATGGGATTTTGTCCTTAATAATCCAAACATGTATATTCTGCCAGGAATAGCATTTAGTTCTCTCGGTAATTAGATTTTTTTCTGCTATTTAATTTATTTTAATATGACATTAAGATTAAATATACTTACATAATTTAAAACTTTATATAGCATCACTAATCATATTGGTTGTTGATCCTGACAACGTACGAGAACGTTTTTCATTAGTTGGATTCACTATTTTTAGTGAACTTAATTATTTAATTTTATGTTTACTTTACGTGATATTACTATTTTCATGGTAATTTATTTATTTTATCTTATTTATTTTTTCAAAATCTCCAATTAAATAATTTATTAATAAATTTTTTCTTAAATAGGGTTAGAGCGGCGAGAGAAATAACATTGTTTGATATAAGATTATCATCGGTCGTCAGAATTTCAACACGCATTTATCGCCATGTTTTATATTTAAATATATTATTAATTTTAATAACATTTATCATTCGCATATTGGAACGAACAAATTTAAATATTGAAAATATATTTATTCCATCAATTATATGGGAAATTATTTTCATTGCATTAATGAATATTGGATTTTTATCATTTGGTATATTTATGATATTGGCTTTGGCGACTGACCGAGAGGTTAAACAAAAAATTGGTGAATCTTTGGTTTTCAAATTTTCTAACAAGGCTGATAAAGAGAAAGCTATTAAAGTAAGGAAATATGCTATATTTTTTTTATCTTTTTTATAGTCTGAATCAAGAGTAATAATAATCTTTTTTTTTTATATTTACCGTATATATTAGGTATTTATTATAATGACTATTTTCATGGTTTCATTTTCATTCTTGACCATCTCGAATGTATTTGTATCATCACTTTCTCCAACTGTATCGAACTTTTGGAAATCTAGAGTAAGTTACAATAATTATATTCGTCTTGTCGGATTTAGTCTTTTTTTTTTACTAATCCATTATTTTTTCGAATTTTCCTTAGACCACAAAAGATACGTCAACCTCATTGTCAATGATTTCAATGTTATTTTTACTTCGATCAAAGTCATTTTCACGATACTTGGTTAATCCATCATCATCATTACTTACTACACGTCCATCATCGCGTTCGTTAATACCAACACCAGAACAAATAGCAGAAGATGAAAGGAGGAATTCTGCAGCTTATACAATACGTACAGCTGTTGTTCGTCCCGAACCATCTTATAAAATGAACCCGAATCGTATTTCTGTTGATATGTCATTAGGAACGGGTGAAATTAGAAACAATTCTCCATCTATAGCATTAATAAATAATAATAATGGTACTATAAGTGACGGTGATGGAAGAAAGAAAGATAATTTCCTTAAAAGTGAAGGGAATGGTAATTTTGATGTTATTGATCTTTGATTTTCATATGATCATTTTATGAACTATTGAACAATATTATTATCATCTTATCATCATAAATTTTTTTTTTTTTTTTTATTTTTTTGTCAAGTAGATTACATTTGATCTTTGAGAAGATTATTCTATTATTGTATAGTTTTTTTTATCATCTTGTATTTAAAATAATTTTTTTTTATCTTACTGAGCATTTTTCATTTTTCATTTTTTTATTTAATTTTTTTAAAAAAAATTCAGTTCCTAAATTATAATATTTTTTTTTTTATTTTTTAGAAAGAATTTTTATTACCATGTTTTTAGAATTAAAATTTTTTAAAAAATAGACCATAAAGATCATAAAAAAAAAAGAAAGATTTTTTTTATATAAATGAATCCTTTTCTTGATTATCCTTTTTATTTTTATTTTTTACTTTTATTAATTTTATTTAATTTTTTTTTTAAAAAAAAAATGAATTAATGAAATAATTTTTTTATTTCTATTTTCAATTATCATTATTTATTCTTTTTTTTTTCTTTTTCTTTTTCTGTAATTTAATTTAATATAAAAACTATACGATAATTTCTTTTTACGCGTTTTGGCATTATCTTTATTAAAGTTGCCGATTTTGACACTAACATTTCAATTATTCATGTGATCGATTAAGCAATCTATTCCGTTTTCATACGAAACTTGATATCCTGAGCCAAAGAACCTACTTTGATGCATTTTATTAGACAAATCGAATGGTAGTAAGATCATCTTTCTACGATCAATATTGGCAGAGTTATGATACAATAAAGATTTTAAGTATAATTTTTTAGTCAAAATTATGTTAATTTTTGATCAAGTAATGTATCTCACATTTTTTAGCAGGAAAATGTCAAGGGTTTGATAACAAAATGAATGAATTGGCTTTTTTTTTGTCACAACCTTTATCTGTGCACGTAATCAGCTTCAATTATTATAAAAAGCTTTTGAAATAACTACTGAATCTTTGATATAAAACAAATATGATTTAGATTTTAAAATACATTAGACACATAATACTTTAATTTTATTTGGTAAAAAAAAAGCGGAAATAGAAATAAAAAAAAATCTTATTAAAAATCTTACATACAAAAAGCGATGGTATTTTCTAATGAACGATAAGAATGATATGTTACAAAAAAAATAAAGTTCAAATAGTTCAAATTCGTAATATGTGAGTTAATTGAAATAATAAAAAAAAAAAAAATGATAAAATATTATTAGTGTGAAATTAAAAATTTTTACAATAGACTCAACAATCACGAAAAAGTTTGCGCTTGCAAGTTATTTATATTTTCTTTTTGCCCTTTTTTTGTTTTTTTTTTGTTTTTTTTTCTTTTTTTTCTTTTTTTTATAATTATAAAAAAATGATAAATAATAAAGAAGGAAAGTTAGGACAAGAAACGAACCATTTTCTCAGTATTAAAATATATGTAGTATTACAGAAAATGAGTAGGACATTCTCTCCCTTTCCCTTTATTGAACCAATCTTGTAAACAATGATTGTGGTATGAACAAAAACAGTTCAGTCTTGCGACGTCTTCGCCTATAAAAATAAATATAAATTTTTTTTTTTTAAAAAAAAAAACATAAAAAACATAACAATAATATGGTTTCTTGCTGGTAGAAAAAGGATAATAATTCAAAATCTGATTTTATGTTAATAAATATATGATATTGAAATAATCAACAAAAAAATGTTGATTTAAATCGTTGATTTTAACATTTAAATCAGATTTAAATTCTTGAATTTCTAAATTATCACCCTTCCTAATTACAAGTGCCCATATAATTGGATAATTAATACTTACCGGAAAGGAATTCTTCGAGACAAATGGGACATTCTTGACCAACGAGGGGGTTATTTTGAGGGAGTTTGTAGACTGTAAATAAAATGATTCCGATTTGATGTGGCATGTGAATGGTTGAATGGGGAAAAATAAAGGAATGTGGTAGAAGTGTACCAACACAAAGGAAGCAAGACAAGAAACCGCGAATAAGTTATAATAATGTTTTTTTTTTTCGCCAATGAGATATATAGTTCTTTCTTGCTACCCTGTAATTTGTTCCTCACCCACATATTTATAACCGCTAATTCCGTTGCCGCTGTTGTTATCGACACAATTGCTGATGTGTTCTTGAGCAGATTTTCCTCCCGATAATGGTACATTACAGACAGGACATTCGGTCATGGTAGAGTTATTGCTCATACGTCTTCTATGATTCATGGTAGATGAACTAGAAACAATTGTTGCCGAAGTAAAGCTATTGGATCTCGGTCGAGATCGCAACGATTGGTAACATGTATCACACACGCGATGGTGGTGATGAGGCTGACTTGCTTCCCCACTTTGAGATGGATCAGTAAGCACTTGATCTGACGGTAAAGAAACTCTTGCCGTAGAACACCTATCACAAACCACTTGACCACATCGTCTAGTTTAGTTCATAAAAAAAAAATTCAAAAAATAATAATATTAAAAAGAAAAAAAAAATACTATTATCCATATCGACTTTTTTGATTTTTTTTATAAAAATTTATTAGTCTCATCTTTACGAACCTGCAATGATGTCTCCTAATCCATAAACCAAACTTCTTACGACATCTTCGACACTCTTGTACATCTTCATCATTCTCCCATTTACCAAAAGGAGTAATATTATTTGCTTGCACATTTGCAACGGTTAAACCTAGTTGAGCATGTGCACGTGTTGGAGATACCACGGATGATTCACCAAAAAATGTAACCGCGTCATCACTTTGAAAAGTATGATTCCATGGACTTTCCGTTGTTTCATTACTTTTAAGACTTAATGTCGATGGAGCATGTAAGTTCGTTATTGTGGGAGCAACACTATTTGGTCGACTAGCTGGAGTTACAGGAGATGATTCTATCCTAAATGGAGTTGGTGATGACGACTTTGAGATTGTTGGGGTTATTGGGACATCTTTAAAGCTTGGACTAGTAGGAGCTGTACCAGTATCAATTCTTTTTATTCTATTATCTAAATGCTCAGCATGAGCCAAAAAAGTATTTGCAAGAGATTTGGCTTCTTCTTTACGTGTTTGATTAGTATCATCTAAAATTGAAAGAATAATAAAAGTATAAATAAATATTTATAAAAGGATTATTCTTCCTAATCTAAAGGAAAAAAAAAAAAAAAAAAGTAAAAACATACTTTTGCTTCCAGATAATAAAATATCTATTGCTTCCGTATATTGTGCTAATTGATCAGCTTCACTAGCAGATTTTTTATTAATAATCGATTCAGCTCGCTTAACATAATCGACACCATCAATTTGAGTATTGTTTTCTGAAACAAATTGTAAAACATTTCCTCCATCTTTTGAAACATCAACAACACGTTTCATGACACGAACCCATCTTCTTCTTCTGACCCAACTTCCGCTATTGGTTAATGGTGAAGTGTACCAATTTTTTTCATTTTCTTCAAAATTTTTAGCATATTGCCACCCTTGCGAGTCAACACGTGGATGTGTCATATCAATTTGCCAATCAGTTACCCAGAACCAAGAATTGCGTGATTTTGAAGCAGTTGCATTAGAAATAGTTGAAGCAGATGATGAAATAGCAGCAACAGGTAATTTAACTTCATCTTTTGTAGTAGGTCTACCATCGGGAAGTGACCAAGGTCCTCGAAAATCATTTTTCAATAAGTTATTAGAAGAATATTTTGGTGATCCACGAAGAGACAAACCAAATGAAGTAGCAGAACGTTGGTTTTCATGAATAATGACGGGAACAGTAATATGGCAATCATTAACATTATAGGGTTTATCAAAGTTTGGCATATCAGCAAGTTCTTTAAATGATGTGGCTATAAATTATAAAAAAGGTAAATTAAATTCATTTATATAAAAACGTAAATTAATAAAACTAATACATACGATTGGGTAATGCTCTTTTTCCTTTCCACCATTCGCGTTCTGCTTTTTCTAATAATCCACAAATATATATTTCTTGACTTGTAGCGGCAACATCATATGCATTTTCATTAAGTCTATTTTTTATGAAAGGATTTGAATGATGGTCTAAAAGGTATTCAACAGTTTCAATATTTCCTTTTGATGCAGCATTCACTAAAAATAAATGAAATAATATTTAGAAATCAAAAGAGGATCAATTTTAATTAGCAAAAATTAACAAATTATACACTTACTTAATGGAGTATAACCTTTACTACTCTTCACATCAATATCAGCTTTAGTATATTCAATAAAATATTTTACGATCTTTAAATGACCTTGAGCGGAAGCATTATGCAATGCAGTCCAACCATCATTGTCTCTCAAAGAAACATTAGCATCCTTTTGTATAAGTAAAGCAACAACTGAAGAATGACCATTATAAGAAGCTTTTAGGAGAGCCGTCTAAAAGGGAGAAAAAAAAATCTTAATCTAATGAAGATCATCTTAATAAAAGCAAAAGATCAAGCTCACGTACTTCTCCAGTTTGATCCTCAAGATCAACAATAGCTCCAGCATCAATCAACCATTTAACAATATCATAATGGCCACGCGAAGCAGCATAATGAAGAGGTGTCAGACCAGAAGAAGGACTGAAATCATTTGCAAGCAAAAATGCGGATGATGTTTCACCGGAACCTTGAGGAGCAAGTAACTCTTTAACCCTAGTGAAATTACCAGCAGCTGCTGCATCATGAATATCTAGGTCGCCTTCGATTGAACCGTCCTCAGAATATCGAGGATAACTTGTTGTAGTAGTTCCACGAAGATTATTATTATTAGGAAGCTTAAGTTGTTTCAAGTGAATGTTCCCATAATAACGATGAGCTTCCCCAGCAATGGGAGGAATCACCACCTCAGGGATCTCAGGGATCCGCATTGGAGCGAGTAACGGAGAAGATACCATCTTCTAAAAGTATTTTTAGTATCTTCTTTAAATTCAGTAGAAATATTATTATTCACGTTGAATCGTTGATTTAGTTTCAAAAGTGTCGTTATAACTTTTTTATATATATTAATGCAGTATAATATTTAGACCTTTATTTTTTTCTCTGTATTTTTAAGTTTTTAAACATCAGTGATTTGATTCACAGTAGCGTGACAAATAGACAATCCATATTCCATGGTTTTTTTTGCTGGACCCTATTTGGGATACAAATAGGAATGCAGCATTTCAGCCATATGGCATGAATATTAGTATAATTGGTCGGTACAATGATACAATAGCACGTATTACATGTTGTGATACCAAAAAACTTGCGTTTATGCAGATATCGCTAAAAAATTCTATTTATCAAAAAAAAAAAAAAAATAAAAAAAAAAAATAAAAATAAATGAAAATTATAGAAAAAATCCGCGTAATTTGAAGTTACTCCGAGAATTTAATCAAAACATTAAAATAAAAGTCTCAATTTCCTAATTATGGTATATATGTTAAATTAAAATCATCATATAATCATATAAAATTTCTATAATTAGTAAAAAAAAAATACGGAGTTTTTGCTCCGTAATCTTTTTTCTTAAATTTGGAAAAGTAGAGTAAAACCCCTAATCATTTTGGTAAACCAAATGACCAAAATGGGAGATCCAATAATATTTTTGCGCAAAAAAGTTCGTCCATTTAAACTAACTTTGAAATAATCAATTATATAATTATTAAAGTTGAATAAGGAAATTTTTTAAGTCAAAATTATTTTATAAGTTCATGAACTCGTGATCTCTTTTAAATTTTAACAAAAAAGATAAAGATTCTTTGAAAACAATATTAAACAACAATATTTATCAAGTAATACAATCTTTTTGATGCAATTTTCTGCAATTAAAAAAAAACTTGCTTTTAACAGTTACTTTTTTTTTTAAAATAAATAATAATTTTAATTTAAAATAAATAAATTATTTTTTTTCGCTTTGATAAATGATATTAAAATTTAACAAATGATATTAAAATGGAATATTATTATTTGATAATGATAAATGATTTGAATGATATATAATAAATTAATTAATTGATAAGATTAAAAATATGTAATTATGATAACTATTTACATTTTTTTTTTAAAAAAAAAAAAAATAAGAAAGATCTGCTATTATTATTAGATTATTGATGTTTTAACTTAATTGTAAAAAATTTTTTTTTCCATAGTATTTTTTGATACCCCGATCACAAAACTCGAAAGTTAAAAGTAATCGAGTAACCAAAAAAAAAATTATTTATTATTTAAAAAAAAATTTTTTACTACCTTATAAATATGCATATATATGTTATGTTGATGAATAATAATATGTACACATAATGTCGTGTATCAAGCATGAAAAAAATATGCCATGCAACAATGTGACTTGATTTTAGCCAGATTTTTACATGAAATGCTTTTCTAAGCTTGATGTCTGTTGTTTTGGTTGGTTTCATAATTTTGTGGTGGTGGAAACTTTCATTAATGTGGTGATTTTTATGATTTTTGCGATTTTTAAGGACATAGTTTGGAAAGACACCAAGCACCAATTCCAAGAACTACTACGCCAATCGATCCCTATTAATCATAAAAAGAATTTAGTAAATTGTTTTAATTATTTTTAGAAAATTTTTTTTCATTATTTAACAAATTTTACTCACCTTAACGAATAGAGATCTTTTGAACTTCTTATTAAATCTTTTATCTTCCACATTTACAGTTTCCGTTGTACGATCGTTGGTCATTTCACATTCTTTGATAGGTTCGGATTCTTGCTTCTTGTGACGGCGCCACATTCCTTCATGTGAGCAGGTTAACCGTCGTACTTCTTCCTCAACTCTTATATCAAATTCCACTTGTAAATTTTTCGCTCGTTCCCGTTCCTTATCAGCTTCATCCTTTAAGTTTTTATTAAGGGATTCGATTTTCATCAATTGCTCGACAAGGAAAGAGTATTCGGTATCATTCTTTCTAGCCGCTTCTTCAAGATGTTGTATGCGAGATAAGAGAGTAATCCTCTCTTCATCAAATTTCTTAATAGCTTCATCTCGGTTTTCTATTCGGTTTCCATATGATTCTCCAACAGAACGAAGTTCCTCAATAGTTTTCATAGCTTCATTATATTTATTTGCATATAACTGAAACTCTCTACACTTCTTTTGTGACGCGTGAAGTTCTTTTTCGGCTCTCTTGAGTTGATCACGAGCATCTTCAAGAAAATATTGAGTATTTGATAATTCATCCGTTATTTTCGTGAGTTGTTCCTCTAAATCCTTAGATTGACTAGTTTCCGTTTGACTATGACCTGCGCCTTTTAATAGATCTTCTAGAGCTCTAATCTTAGATTCGGACTCTTTGCACTTGTCTTCGAGTTCGGATGTTTTCTGATTAGAATATTTACACTTTTGTTCAAGATGAATAACTTTATTATCAGATTCCTTGTACTTTTCTTCCAACTCGGTAATTTTATTTTCGGATATGGTACATTTTTGTTCTAATTCAGTAACTCTTTTCTCAGAGGCAGCGCATTTTTCTTTTAATTCAACAACTTTTTTATCAGATACCATAAATTTTTCTTTATACTCTCTTTGAGAACTTATGGCCTCATTTAATTTCATTTCCGTTTCTTTAAGTCTAATTTGAGCTTCTTCGAGTTTTGAATTAGATTCTTCATAGAATCGAAGATCCATTGCCTTATCAGCAAAAGTTACCTATATAGAAAAAAATAAATAATGAATAAGATAAAATAAATAAATAAATAGAAATTTCAAACTAAATATAAAAATCATTACTTACTCGTTTGCCTCTTGATTCTAATGTATTAGTAGCATCATTAAACATGCTACCAAGTTCTGAAAGGTATCGCGACTCAGCGCGTGCACGTTCTAATTCAGTCTGAAAATAATACAATGATTTAACACGTTATATAAATCAAAATAAAGAAAAATCCTTTGAAATATTCATACCTCTAACATTGTTAATAAAGAATTTTCGGTATTGGAAGAAGGATGTTGAGTTCTGTTGCCACGTCGCTTAGTACTCATCTGAATGATAAAAAGATTGAAGATTAGTTTATTTTATACGAAAAAAAAAAAATATATATATTTTTTTTTATAAATAACTTAAATAAATTTTTATAAAACAACTTGATAAATAACTTGATAAATTTTTATACATACATGACCATTTGTAATAACTTTTTGATGTTCCATTCCATTCATTCCATTCGCTCCATTGACCCCAACATCATAAAGTTCATTCCCGGCTTGCGAGAAGTAAACTTTTGCGGCAACTTTACGGAACATCAATTTCTTATCTTGTTCATTAACAATATCAACTCCAAATTCCAAATCATCACCATGTCTGAGTTCAATAGGACTACTCTCTTTACCTTCAGCACTTAATCTTTTACCATTTATGAACGTACCGTTACTAGATTTCGAATCTTTGATAAAAACTTGATTATTACGAAAAATAATTTCAGCATGGTATCTTGATAGTACCTTGCTATCAAAATAACCATTTGACTCCGCTGGAGCCGTGTTTTTATTAGTCATTCTACCAATTCTAATACTATTTCCATCAGTTAAAGTTATTCTCTTTTGTTGAAAAGTATCATTAACTGGGTCAAGTATTATTGTGATCCCTCCTCCATAGGTTTGGTTTTGGTTTTGTCTTTGACCTTGAATCCACATTTTATCAATCGTTAAATCCATATTGCGTATATTTAAATATATTTTAAGAACGGAGGACCTAATACAAGAAGAAAAACGCGCAAAAAAAAAAAAAAAAAAACGTTTTTGGGTAATCAAAATAATAATTACAAAAAAAAAAAAAATTTGTGTAATAATAATAATTTTTCAACATGAGCAACAACATGACCAACAGGATTTTTGTAAATCGCTTCGAAAAATGATATTGTTAATTATTTGTAATTATTGTTACAAAGTATGTCAGATTAAAATCAGGTGACCCGTTAAAACACGGGAAATTCAAAATTTCTTTAACTATTTTTTTTTTTTCGAACCATTTTCGGTATATTTTCTGTTAAAGAAATTCCGTAAAAAAAAACAAAAAACACTTTAACACAATCATTTTTAAAATTTCAATTCTTCTTTCTTCGGAAAGGAAAGGATTAGTGATTTTGAAATATTTTTTTGTGATTCAATATGAATCATTTACAAAATACAGAAAAATACAGATTTACAAACTTTTTTCATATTGTAACATTAATTTTTTTTCTTCTAAAGAATTTAAGAATTTTAAAATTTTTCTTATGATGATAATAGATTATGATTTACTTTTGTACTTTTTGTACTTTTTGTTACTTTTTTGTTACTTTTTGTTACTTTTTGTTACCAAGATTATCATGAAAAAATAAAAATGATTAAAATGAAACGTCCAGATTTAGACATGATATAATGTAATGGATGTATAAGATAATAATGATAAACAATTCATTTTTTCAAAAGCATTTTTTGTAATTTTTTGTGTAAAAGAAAAAAAATAAGTTTTAATTCCCAAAAAACTTTATTTATATTATGAAACGAATATCTTTTTGAAAAAGGGTTATGTTTATTTTTATGTTTATTTTAATTACATCATTTACATCATTTTTTTTACAAGGGGTGAGAAACTTTATTTTTTATTATTTTTTTTTGTTGTTGTTTATTTCAAGTGATTTAGATGATTGATTACTTCTTTTTTACCCCAAACCCTCATTTAAAAATTACCTGTTGATAAACATGTTAAAATGTTTTATTAAAAAATTAAAATAAATAATTTTTGTACTACTTTTTATAATTTACGATGACTACTAACTATTTAACTATTTGTTACAGAAACAATATTTTGGAATATTCTTAGTTTTTTTTAATTCCGGTTTTACAAATCACAGGATTTGCAGATCGAAATAATTATTTGATAATCATATAATAAAAATTTTCTAGTTAATTAATAATTATAATATTATTATAATTAAGAAAAATAAATTATTACTAAAATACAATATTTTTTTTTTTTATTATTAAAGAAGAAAAAAAAGAAGAAAAAAGAAAGGTAATAATACAAAGCGCCTCTGATTTTAACGACGATTTTTTTTTTTTTTTTTTGTAATTTCTCGGATTTTTTTTTTGATTTCTTCTGATTTTGAATTTATTCAGATTTTTTTGAATTTTTCAAGAAATTCATCCTTAATAATTGTACAACATCATCGTTTCATGATCCTTTTAAAGATTCCTAACTTAATATAATACAATATAGATAATGGTAATCAATTATAAAATTCTCAAATATTCCCATTTGAATATCGATAAATTTTTTGATCTCCCCAAACCTCCCATGTTATAATCAGGGGTACCTCCGTATACTCCGTGTATTGATTCAAAAAAAAATAAAAACTAAAAATAATTTTTTACTAAAAAAATTAGGTGTTTTTTTTTTAAAAAAAAAAATTAATAATAATAAACATCAAAAAAACTACTCTATTTTTACACAAATTAGTATATATTTAATATCATATACCATAATTATCATGTATTAATCTATTATTACTCATGTTACTTTTGTTACTTCTGGTACTTCTGGTACCGATACTTCTCTTACCCAATAAAGATGTTTTTTCATCCGCATCATCATCATCATCTATCATCTCTTCAAATGTAAACATTCCCGTAGTGGTAGATGAATTACCCTCGAAAGAAAGTCGATATTCAGAACTATCCAGATCTATATTGTCTTCAAAATCACCAAAATCATCATCATCATAAAGTTCAGTTAATCCTTCAACATCTTGTCCCAATAATCTTCTATCTTCACCAGTTAATAAATCTTCTTCTGGTGCCGTACTTCTTTTCCATGATAATACAAGTACACCAGATAATAATATAAAAATACCTAATATTACAAGAAATATTTGCCATCCATATAACCTATTCCATTGATTATAATATACAAGACCATTAAATATTGTGGAGGCATTAAATGCGCAAAATGAAAGAGGAATTAGAATGACCGTATCACACATCCTGAGTCCTTTGTTAAGAAAATAAAGCTGATATTCCAACAAAAATGTAATAGTGTAAATAATGATATGATGTAAGATTGCAGTAAAATACATACATAACAAGTTTAATTACCTGTAATACACCAGCAATAGCCATTCCTGCTACGATAATCCAACTTAAAGGTCGATTAAATTGATTATTGCCATAAATAGTTAATAGTAATAATTCAACGCCGCTCTTAGCAAATATTAAACCTTGACTGGATATCATACCACCAACACATCCGTATGAAATTCCAAGAAAAGTTTGAAATTTTTTCATGGGCCATCCAAATATAGGATCACGTTCAATTTGATTCATACGATCCAATACATAATCACCATATTTATTTGCTATTACAATAACGATAACCACAAATTCAATTATGGAAAAATATGCTATGAAACCTGGACGTTTATATAATTCAATCAAATCTTCTAACGTATGTTTTGGTTCATTGACAACTCCAAATACTGCAATCATTATCGCTCCAATTATAATAAAAATTGTCCCTATAATTGAATCGGGACATTATTGATCACATTCATGATTGTTAACATTTTCTTCTTTCTTCTTCAAAATTGAAGATGAAAAAAAAGAAGAAGAAAAAAAAAGAAAAAAATCAATATTGATCGACGCACCTATTATGGTTTGCCTATTAAATATATCACCCAAAAGTAATTTTGCAAATATTGCATTAAAGACCAAGGTTACAGCCCCTAAAGGGGCCAAAATAATTATTGGAAGATAACCAATTGAGAATACACTTCCAACTATATTTGAAATTATGTAAGTATCGAAACCCAAATGCCATAATGGTCTTCTACATGCGGATCTTCTAAGTTCTTTTGGATGAATGTTTTCATTTAATACATGAGATTTTCTTTGAATTGTAAGACCAAGTGATTGAATAAAAGAAGTTGATATTGCTATAGTGATACCGATAATAAAATTAAATTGTGGTGTGTTATCATTGTTTTCATTACTTATCATAAAAGGTGAATATCCAAGCATTTTTTTTTAATTATAAAAATTGGAATTTCAAACTTTTTAATTCCGAAACAAAAGTAATAAATTCCGAAAGACTTTTTTTTAAAGAGACATAAAAAGAAAAAAAAAAAAAGTTGATTAGTAAAATCCCTTAAACAAGAAAGCTTTATTCGTACAATCATGCCAAAAGTCGATCAGAGTTACAGAGCATAAATAAGAAATAGGTCTCGGTTTGTGGTACAAACAATCTGATCATAATTAGATCGTAAGTTGTATTTACCCTATTTACCCTTATTTACCGCATTCTAAAGTAATTTCTTATTTGTTATAAGTGGTCACTTGCAGCTGTTACATTTGACATTTTGTTTTTTCATTGTCTGAAATTTTTACGCCGCTGCATTCTGTTAAGTTCATTTTTTTACTTTTTCTTTCTTGGAATCTTATAGTTAGAATACATTGATACCAAAACATATAAGCAATATGATGATCCGATAAGTTTCCATGACGATTTCTTTAGCAAGTTTTGAATTAAGAACACAATCTCGATAAACGGGGTCACGGTACTATTTTTCCGGTTTCAATCCGGTAAATAATTTTTACGATATTAGTATTATCGTTATAAATAGAATCATTAATAAAATGACAAAATTGACGAATAATCATTTAACGCCACATTTCAAGTTTAATTTTAAGTTTTTTAATATTTACCATTGATCATATGATTGGGAATAAATATTGTTGATGACAATGAACTTTTATTTGAATTATTATTATTATTATGGTCAGATGAAAAAGTGGACTTTTCAAGTGAGGCAATGACCGACCAATAACAGATGAGGTTCCCCTGTTGTTTAACGGTACTTGACTTTCCAAGACTTATAAAGAACGTATATTGTCTATCATAAATAGATTTAAGTAAAAATTGTTTACCGGTATTCTCGGTATTCTCACGGACTTTTTTCTTTTTTTTTTTTTTTGTAAAAAATAAATTTGATATTTGAACCACTGTAAAATATATAAAAGTATCAATATATGATAAATTTTTTGTTGAGAACTTGAGATATCATGGTCGATATTTTTTTTTTTTTTTTTACAGTCGTTAAACAAGTTGTTGAAACTAGGAATTCCAAGTAATCTATTATTTATGCAGGGTTTAAATTTGACCTTGAATCCATTGGATCATATGATTTATAATCCTTGGATTTTCTTGATAATCCAGACTTTTCTTCGTCCCATTTAATTTTTTCTCGCTTAATAATATGACATATAACACTTGTCGTTAAGAATAAAAATGTATTTATCCAACCTAATGTTAAAGTTATTATATAATATAAACAATGTAATTTAAGATTTTGAGTAGAATCTAAATTGGATTGTATTAAAGGACATGATAAATCTGATCCACTATATACTGGACTTAGGTTCGCAAGACCTAAAATAATGGGGTTAGTAAAATTAATAAAATTTTATATTTATTTATAATAAGAAGAAAACTTATATATATATATTGTTTGAACTTACCAGCTACGAACCATAATAAAAAGAAAATCCTGTTAATAATAATTTTTAAAGTTCGTCAATATTGTCTCTACATTAAGATACTGTATGTTTAAAATAAATATGCTTACAAGTCTATAATTATATTTGGACCCATTCCCCAATATTTATGAAATCTTGACAAATAATAACCTATATGAATGGATTAAATATAAAAGATATATTATTTTAAATGTTAATTATATATTATTTTAAAATTTTTTTTATAATTAACAAAATTAAAATTTAACCATTTTTACAGTACATACCAATTCCAATTAATGTGACTATTATTACAATGTAATACCAAATTTTAACTTCACCGTTATAACTTTTTTTTTAAAGAAAATAAATAAAGGTGAGTGAATAAGGAATATTTCTCGAATGTAAAAGAAAAATCCCTTATATAACATTTTATAACATTTTAATACTTACAAATCCTGTTTTAAAAAAAACGATGATTTTGGAATAGGAAGATTATTTTCTGAAATATATGCACAATATATTTCAATCTGTATCATTTCTATTATTAATTAGGAATAATTTTATCATTTTTTTAGTCATAATATTTCTTGAACAAAAAAAAAAAAAAAATTGAACGNTTTTAAAAAAAAAAAAAAAAAAAAATTGAACGAAAATATATAAGTGATCATAAAAAAAAAACCGAACCTATTATGAAAATTACAAAACTCAATAACAATTGTAATATTTTCAAAGATTTAAAAAATCTTGGATAAGATCGTAATTGTATCATTATCGTTTATCGACTTTTTTTTTGAAATTTTTTCTTAAAAGAATGGAAAAAAAAACTTGTAAAAAAAAAAATAAAATAAAATAAAAGTAAAAATAATTAATTTGAAATTTTTAAGGAGAAACGCTTTTAATTATTTTGAAAGGGTCCTAAAAAAAAAAAATTTCAAACACAAAATTTTTTTTAAAACCATTTAATTTTGGAAACGGTAACACAGATTAAATGAGAAAAAATTGAAAAAATGCAAAAGAAATTTATTAGATGTTTTTCATTATGCGTGTTTTACTCATTCTTTTGAAAATCCGTTAAAATAATTGTTATACAAAATTTGAACTTTGGATAAAAATAATGTATTATGATTGTATGACAAAAAAACATATATATTTAATCTGCATATTTATTGCAGATTTATTATTATGGTAGAAGTTTCATACTTTAAATATTGAAATAATGTGTGAGAATGAGATCCCTGGTTACGTAATCGAAATATTAAATAATAATAATTAATAAAGCCAAATTTCTCAATTTATAATTACTTTTTGGAAAATTTTAAATAGTAAATAACAAACAAACTAAATGACCAATTGTTATGTAGGATTTCACAAAAATTAATTTCAATATTTTGTATACGTGTGGTTAAAATTACGCAGTATTAACAACAGTATATGTTGAAGAACCCGGCGAAAGTTTAATTCGTTCCAAATGGTAGTCAATTTTTACGTAATTAATATGTAAGCATTTAATTCACTTTGATTCTATCTTGGTTCTTTTTTATTACAAGTTACGCGAATCGGCGAAACTCACCAAAATGGTTAAGTCATTAAAATTAGTATTTTTTTTTACTCTTATATACTTAATTAACATTTTTTTTAAGCTAAACAAAAATTTATATCGGATAAAGTTTATACCTTCTAAAAAAAGAAATGATAGACGTTAATAAATACTCATCCTTTCCGAATTTGAAAAGTTTTTAATCTCGATTCAACTTTCTCCTAATTTTTTTTTTTTTTACTTATCGATAAAAGTTTTTTGATCCGAAAGATGACGAATGCATCAATATCTACATATCCAAAACAATATCCTTTTTTAACGAGACAAGAATTTGATATTGCTGCTAAATCATTTTTAGAACAATCAAAAAAATCTGGTGAGTATGATGGTGATCTTTGGGTTTGGAACGAACATGAGGTATCGTACTGTTAAAAAAAAAAATCGTAATTTTTTTATTTAATATTATAACGAGTTTCACTTAATTTTAAAAAGAAATTGAAAGGATTCGGATATTTATCTCGTAGATTAATTATCCAAAAATTGAAGAATGATTCCATAAATGAAAATATTACAGACATAATAACAGATGACGAGCAATTTGAACAAGTGGAAGAAGAAATAGAAGATCCTAGTGTAAATTATATACCTACTTTTTATCGTAATGAATTTAAAAATTTATAATACTTTATTTATTTTATTTACTTTTGCTGGTATGGATTGTTTATCAAATTTGGAAAATTAAAAAGACTCTAAACATAACTGATACAGCAGCAGAGTATTTTACCGTAGATTATCATATCATATATTCAGCATCTTATAAGGTTCCCGTACTTTATTTTAACGCTTATCGTAAAGGTGAGAAAAAGGCTTATCTTACTATATGATATATTTTATTTTATTATTTTCAATAAAAATTTGATTTTTTTCCTTTTTAAAAAGATGGAACACCTTTAACAAATGATGAAATATATTCTTGTCTAGTAGAACCTTCAAGACTTGAAGATATAAAGACGGCAGGTTTTCACGGTGGAATATCACAACAAGTATATTGATTTTTTTTTTTTATCGCTCAAAAAAATTTTTTTTTTCTCTCTAAAAATTAAAAGATCAAGAATAATAATTCTTATATTTTTTAGGACCATCCTACACTTTTAATTCCATTTTATTATCTTCACCCATGTGAAACTGCTACTTTAATGAAATCAATTGTCAATACATCACAGCCTGCAACATCAAATTCCAATAATAATAATAATTTATTACGTGAAATTTCTATTGAAGGATATATTAGAAGTTGGTTAAGTTTAGTTGGTAACGTTGTTGGATTAAAAATTGGAATAAGTTATTTTTTATAAAAAATAAATTACGTAATCTCTGTTTTAAAAATAAAATTTAAAACTAATAGACTATAATCCATATGATAATAATTAATTAATTTTTTATTGATGTGATCGTTCTACAAGACAAATTATATGTACAGTACAACATCAAAGTAGTGTACAGTATATCAAACGCAATATTATTAATATTATATAATTATATTCATCACAGCAGATTGTTAAATTTATTTATAAAATCGACTTTTGTTTATTTACTTATCAATCAATAACCAACTCTACCTTTTAAATTGGTATCAGGACATTTTGCCGAAAGCCATTTCGCCGAAAAATAATCTCTGGCCTGAGTTATTTATAATTCTGCATAATGTTGGCCCTATTTTTCGGCGAAACGTCCTTTCGGCGAAATGGCTTTCGGCAAAATGTACCGTAACCCTTTTAAATTATCCATAGGTTCGGTTTAACTGGAATCAATAATTCAATACTCGTTAAATGATCATAATATTTACCATTGTACCTGAATTCTGAAATTGGCTGAAATTGGACCATTTGTTTATAAAAAAAAAAAATTTTTTTTATGAATAGAAAAGATAGTAAAGGACGGTCCTGATAATACTTGTCTGTTATAACAACAATATTACGCCTAATCTGAATCGTCTCCAATATTCATTTAAAATAGATCGAGATTCGTAGTTTAGATATTTTCCACACGTTGATTTTATATACTGTACGTGTCAATATCATTTAAAGACGGGCGTTAGCATCGATGGAACTGCGGCGTTTGTATTCACGTGAACATGGATCACGTAAAAGAAATTAATACGTTCCAATTATACTGTTTATACATGTATTCTACTTGCTTTGTACGCTGATAGTCCGGATTGAGCAAAAAAAAGAAAGAATTGGCTTAGAAGTTGTAATTGTGGCTGCGTGATGCTTTAAAGCACACGACACCTTTTAAACGATTAATAAATCGAAAGCCGTAACCAAGCCATATATCAAAAGTAAACAAAAGAAGCAAAAAAAATTCTCATGAGTTTAATCTAAATAATTAAGTTTAGCTATAAGGTAAATCAGCCCAATTTTCTTTAGAAAAAATAAAAAAAAAATCAAATTTATTAAAAACTTTTTTTTTCACTTTAATATTTCGAGAATCCAATAAAATTTTTTTTTTTTTAAAAAAAACTAAATTATAAATAATGATTACATATTTCTTTTCTATCTTATCGTACCTTACAAATATTATGAGTGTAAAAGATGTAAAAGAAAAAACAAACGTAGTAAAAGGTAGTCATCTAGAATTAAAAAATTTGTATAAAACTGATGAAAAAGTTGAAAATTTTCGTGAAATAAGAATTAATATGGAATTTGAAGATTGTAAATATTGTAGGTCTAAAAGAGTTTTCGTTACTGACAGTATATATATATATTTTTCTTGTTGTGCGAATTAAATTATTTTTTTCAACGTTCCTTAGAAAATTGACCGATGAAACGCGAATCATAATTTCAAGATCAAATCATGTAAACGTGTCATTTTTTTTTCAATACTGTATATTCGGACCAGATTTCATGATGTTTATAAAACAAAAAGTATACTTTATAAAAATGTAACGTGGCGTAGCTATTAGATTTTCGAATAATCATAGCGTTTCTTATATAAAGTAGTTACTTATATAAAGTAGTTATAAAAAAAATAATTTCATTTAATTGTACTTTTGATTCGAGATAGAAATAATATATTTTTCATTTTTTTTTTCTTTTCTGATTAAAAATATTAGATTATTAGTTATAATATATTGGTGATATTGGATCAAACGATTGGATCGTTTATAAAATATTAAGTATTAACTTAGTTTGTTATTCTAAAATTTAATACTCGTAGGTTTCTGGAGTCCCATTATAGTGATTGTACAATTTACTTTTTCATTGAACATGGAAATTTTATGCAGTGAAACGTTACCTATTTACCGCAGTATGCCTTTTTTTGTAAATCTTATACTATTTAAATGGAATTCATTTTGCGGTTGTACATGTACGATGGTAGTTATTTAAAAAAGTTTAAATTACAACAGATATCATCCGACTTTATTAGGGTTCATACACAGCCCCAAACTAAAAAAAAAACTCAGACTCAACTTTTTCTTTTTTGAAAAAAAAAGTTTGAACTTATATCATCGTTTTTTTTTACAAAAGGTAAAGTTCATATTTTTTTTTTAAATTAATGATTTGATTTTATACATATAATTACGTGTGACTTCAAGACCAATTTAATCTTTTTTTTTTGTAGTTATTACGTTTTTTTATTAAATAGTCATGGATAATGAAAATAAAGAAGCTTTGTCTCCTATTACAAAAGAAATTGAAGAAAAGGCCGTTAAAATTAAAGAAGGTCTTAAACATGTAGAAACTAAAGAAAATAATAAATTACCGACCGCTGCTGGTAAATTTTATTTATTTATTATCGAAATGTAATTTTCTTAAAAAAAAAAAAAAAATTCAAAAAGTTTATTCAAATATTTATTATTTTATAGAAATTGAAGCTGAAAAGAAAGAGAAAGAATCTGAGGAGAAAAAATGAATAATATTTTTTTTTTTTTCAAGATTCCCTTTTTCTTATACATGTAGGATTATTTATTAAAGATTTTATTAAAGATTTTTTTTGTTAATAAAAAAAAAAAAATCGAATTTCGTATCTTTAGTTTCATCTACATTGTACACTAGATGAATTAATTGTAAAGAATAATAAACAATATTATATACCAAATACTTTTTGTCTTAAACCTGTATTCAATGAATCGTGTAATTGGTTGCAACATAAGAAATTCTATTTTTATTTATCGTCAAATTGTTTTATTAGGTTAAATATAATTACACAGAACCCCTGTGGCGTTATGTAATTCACATGTGTATCCATAAAATCATAAATCATAAATCATATCATTCTCCGTGATCACGAGCACGCAGATCATCTGACCTAGCTCGAACCACGTAAATTTTCGATAAAACTTGATCCTTTATAATTTATTAATATACCAAGATTTGCATTTTATGATATGATTTATATTCTTAACCATCTGAGAAAGTTATATAAAATTTATATATAATTATTTAAATTACAAACTAAGAATCTTGTAAAATATCTTATTAATCTAATCTTAGTGTTTAAATAATTTAAATAAATAAAAGTGTAAATAAATGATAAGAATTTAAAATATAAAATAATATTGTCAATTTGATTTATTTAAAATTCATCTAATGATAAATAAATAAGATGATTGCTTTAAAAAGAAATCTTATTTATTTACCATCAGGATTTTCTAGTTCATCTTGTTCTTTTAAATGAGGATTTGGATGATTATATGTTTCGTTATCATCTATATGAAGAATATAAATAAATAGAATTAAAAAAATAGTATAAAGATTATTTATCATTATGAAAAATTTTAATATACCATCAGCATTATTATTATTATTTTGCCTTTTTATTTGTTGTTAAATTATTTCTTTTTCATCATCTAAATTTTAAATAAAAGTCATATTTAATAAAATATAATGAATAATTTACTTTGTTAATTTACTTACTATTTGAATTTATTTGCAACTTTTTGAATTCTTTGGGTAATTTTTCATTATCATCTAAAATTAAGAATATAGAAAATTGACTTTAATATTTAATATAAATTACCTTTAAAAAATTTATAATTTCTTACTATTCTGTTTATTTGATCTATTAAATTCATTAACTAAAAATCAAATATTAATTCAATTTATAAACTTAATAATATTATAAAAAATTTTCAACAATATTAACGTTAGTACTTACCGTTATGGATGTTAAAATCATTCAATTTACTAAGAAATGCTATTAACAAAATATTTTAAAATTAAATTATTATAATAATTAAAAATGACAAGAAATTATCAATTTATACCTTCTTGTTCTTCTATTATATTTTATTAAATTCAAAAAAAAAAGATAAAATAAATAATGTATTTTAAGATACTAAATACAATTATTAATAAAATATTATACACTTATACCTTCTGTTGCATTTCTTGGTTCAGGTAGATTCTCAAAATTGTGAATTTTACTTGTAAATAATCTGTTACTTATATAATTTGTTTCTAAATTACTATTATTTATTTCTAAATTATCTATTTCTGATTGGAATAATTCATCTGACATACTTTGATAATCTAAGTTAATTCTTTTCATTCTTTTCCAAAGCGTATAAATATCTGGTCTTTTTAACGGATCGGCATTCCAACATTCTTTCATTAAATTCTTATATTCTAATGGAGTTCCTGACACAATTTTTGGCCTTATACCATTAATAATGTTTATTGCAAGATCATAATCATGTTCATAATTTATAAATGGTGGTTGTCCAGATGAAATTTCCCACATAAGTATTGCAATACTATAAATATCAGATGCAATAGTATATTCTCTTCCGACAATAGCTTCGGGTGCTATAAAAGGAAGATTTCCATATATACTTTTTGATGGTTTATCAATTGGCCCACAAAATCCAAGATCACTAATATACCAGGAATCATTTAATTGTGAATATAATATATTTCCAGAATGCAAATCTCCATGAATTGCATTTTCTCTATAAATAAAGTAAATTGCGTTAATTATTTCATAAGCAATGTTAACTCTCTCTTTCCATATAAGTTGGTTATGATTTTGTTGTAAATATATTCTTAAATCCATATCCATTTTCATCATCACAAGCATATAATTACCGTTTAATATATCTTGTGTCAATCCATAACATTGAACAATATCCGCCCATTTATTATTTATAGTTAAATGTGATTTAGCCTAAATGATATGTTATTGTTAATACAAAAACTTCGTTTTACAATTTTTCTGTTTATTTTTATATTTTGCGCCAATAATTTATAAAAAAAAATTATACAAACCTCTTCAAACCAACGTTGATTTGCATTTTTAACATCATCTAATCTTTTAAGTATTACTTTAATAGTTCCAAATCTATTTAATTGTTGTTTTTCAGAATCCCATTCTTCATAATGTCCATCATTCCAATCTGCTGTATAAATTTCAGAAAATCCTCCTTTCGTTAAATATTTAATATTTTTTAAATTATTATATGGAATCCATTCAACAACCATATTTGGCATAAGTGTTTCCATTTGACATTTTTGTATTAAATTATTAATATCATCATTTTCGGATTTCCAATTTGAAAAATTTTCTTTTAAATAATTTCGAATACAATATTCACAATATAATGTTGCTAAACATTCTTGGTTACAATTTTCACAAATTCTTTTTATTCCTGAATTATCTCTAACTTTATCTCGATCATAATCTTTAGTTAAAAATCTTATTGCATAAGATTTTTCATCATTTGTAAGAATTTTATCAATAAGAACTGTTTGTTTTCTAAATTCAAATTTTTTGTGCATATCATTGTGAATATTAGTATCTGTTAATAATATTGCTCTATCAATTGTTGTAAGAATTAATTCATAACGAAGATTTGTCATAATGTTAATTAATAAATTAAAAAGGAAAGAAAAGAATTATGTTTTTATTAAAGTTCGTTCAACTTTCGAAATTTAATTAGTAAAAAATGCAAATTGTTGATCAAAACCTTAATGTTGTGTCACCGTACAATTTAAATTTTTGTTACCTTGTTGCCTTTAGGCGTAGTGTTTTACGACTCGAACTTAGCATAATAAGAAATGATATTCCGTTTCGTATATTTTTTTTTTGCTGAGCATGACATTTTTTAAAATTAATTGCAGACATAATTTGTGATTTTATATTTAATAAATAAATAATATTCCTCAATTAATATTTTATTTGATGAAATAAAAAATCTAAACTTTCAAAATAATTGTGTATTAATTAATTGTCTGAGGCGTAGCAAAGGAACTTTCAAGTATAAGACAATGCAATGTTCGTCTGTCACGCCGCGTGTATGATATGGCCAATGAAATTTTAGGATCAGGTGTAACATGTTAACGTGATTAATGATCATGTGATTATAACGCTTCGGACACCTAGTTGATAGTTATTCTAAACAACGGTAAAATGTAAAATTTATAGATAATCTTTCATTTGATTCTATTTTAAATAAAAATCATATAAATGATGTATATTAGAAATTATAAAAACCATTTTTCATTAAAGAAGCCACGTCTAAATTGAAGAACTTTTGTAAAATTATCATTTCTGTTCTTTTTGATGCAAATATAGATTACAAATAAAGGATTGAATCAAAAATGTAATTTGTTAAAAGTACATTAAAACTGAATGAATGAAAGAAACCATTCACATTGATAATTAATTATGTGTAGTGACTTCACCATAATAGATTAGCAATTTGCTATTGTAATTATAATTATAAGCGACTTATATTCTTGATTGTCTAATACAAGCAAATGCGAAATGTATCGATCTGTAATATATATTACTGCAGTGAAGTTAATTCAAAAAATTTTTATACGCGCAAAATGTTAAAGCTTTATGCACATCTTGTATGTAAGAGTAAAATAATAATAAGCGCGATCTTTAATGTACGTTGCGCCTATTGTGTATTATTGGATTTAAATTTTTTTTTTGCAAATAAACCTTGTCCTTAGGTATAAAGTAGATAAATAAGAAATAAATAAAAACAAAGATCAACTTAAAAATCCATCTGAACGTATAGTTTTGATTTGATAATAGAGTATCATAATATACATATATTATTTAATAATCTATCAACGCACAATTTATGATAATTATGCTATAAAATTATTTTAGATTCGTAACATTAAAATTTCCATCAAATTATTTAATTTTTCTCGTATAATTATTGTTTGAACAAATAAAAAATTGTTAATATAAATTTTTTTTACTGATAATTTATATATTTAATAATTTGAATAATTTATTATATAATTATTTAAATTACAAACTAAGAATCTTGTAAAAATTTAGTACACTAGTCTGTGTTTAAATAATTCAAAATAAATAATAAATAATAAATAATATAATAAAAATTTAAAATATAAAAAAATCGTTAATATATCAAAGACAATTTAAAATCCATCTAAGGAATAAATAAATAACAGATAATAAATAGTAACAGGTTAGTAAATAAAATATAGTAATATAAATATAATAACATCAGAAAATTTCTTTCACTTAAAATCCACATGGAAATCCGCATCGAATATTGTGGAAATATGTGGAAATCTGAATAGTTCTAACATTTCCAAATATTCTGGAAAAACACGTGGTATCTTCGACAAAATGCGATGTGAATCCGCGTAGGATATATGGGAATGTGTGAAATTCTACATATTCCTGACTGAACCAATCCGTGTGGAACGTGGTCTGATCTACCTAAAAATTTCATGATGGAGGTAATTAAGAACTTACCATAAACAATTTCCAAGTCATATATATCCCTTAAGCCGTAACTGAAAAAAAAAATAAAACACCGAAATGAAACCTAGAATCGGTTTATAAAAACTCGGGCATGTGATCTAGATGTGACGCCCAAGTTTTGATTGGTCCGTGTAATATCGCGACGTATTTTTTTTCAAAAGAAAATATCTTTATAGTAAAAAAGAAACTTGTAAAATTTATTTAAGAGATAAATCGTTTTTGAATGGGAGAAATAAGAAAAAATAGACATCTTAAACTAAGAATAATAACACCCGAAACGAGTTTGAGACAGCTTGGATTCCTAATATTCTTCGTTTCAGAAACGAATTATCTCTTTTAAACATTTAAAATAGCTTAATTAATTTATTTATTCATTCATTTATTTGCGGTAATAACACACATTTCGACGATGACATGTGCAGTATATTCTGATTATTCGTTCGAGAATCAAAGGTAAAGTATTTAGAGTGTGATTAGGGAATTGTTCATTATAATATTCTTAATAAAAATTTCATTGTCAAATTAAGCAATGATAGTAAACATTATATTTTATTTAAACGAACGATTACTAAAAAGGCCTAAACTTTGTTGCCAAATATTGAGACGTGCGAAAATACACATTCCTCATTAAAAAAATAATCGTGTAAAATTTAATTGAGTATAATTTATTTGATACATTATTAAGGGCATATATTTTTTGGCTTAAATGTATTAAGTGAGTTCAGTATATATGGCATCATCATCAAAGGACTTCTCTACGAAATTTTTGATGATAAAAATCAATTTTTTATTTTTTAAAAAAAGATAGAGCATTAAAGATTCTGCGAGATAATAAATATTTCTATATGAATTTTTTACAAAAAGTGATAATTGGTAATGATTTTGTTGATATTAATAGTCTTTCACTTAAAATAAAACTCTTCTAATAAAGATTTTGATTGAAGATATTTGATATACTGCAAGTATTTATTTCATTATAAATAAAAATTTTAGTATGATAATAATTCGTTATAAAGATAACCAATGAGTAATGACAATTAAGTATCTGTTGGTACCATGAAACATTTCCCACACTTAGTCAAATACGGTCAACCGTACGACCGAAAAATTTTTTATTAATCATTTCTTTCGCATAAATTTTTTACCGATAAATTCTATTTTTCGAAGTACCTATATCGCCATTATAAGCCACTGATCAAGTCTATTTTATTATTAATCATGATGAATTCGGAAAGGTTTTTACAAGTATATATATATCCTCAAACTTTTTCAAAACTTCTTAAGAAACACTTCTTTCTCTGAAAGTCTTTTATGCTTTACAGAATTATTTACAAAATGTTTGCGTCACTAAATTGTTTACTCTTAGGAAAGACTTCTTTTGATGATGTTTTTACGGTTAACGTTGATGATAATAACGAGATTAATAATGTTAATGTCAAAATTGATAATTTAAAGATTCACATCTCAAATTCCTTATTCCTTATTTGGAATAATAAAAAAGATACGTTAGGAATCAATGATCCTGACATTATGAAGCTTTGGAAGGTTGTCATCGGTTACGAATTACGATGATGAAGACAAGCTTAAACATGTTACTACCGAAGATGATATTAAAAAAATTCTTATGGCGAGAGGTTGTTACCTATCTTCCTGGTTAAGAAACTTTTTTCGTAACAGCTGCTTGTAGATGAAAACATTTACGTCATCGTACAAATGCCCGCCGCTTGCTGGTAAGTGTCTCTCAATGTTTAATCGAAATTTACAGTTGGAAAAAAATACCTTTATTTAATTTTTAACCTTGCACTGTATCATATTCTTTTTTTAATTACCTTTCATATATTTGTAGCCCTGGTAAGTGTCTCAATGTTTTACCTCTCGAATGAGAAATTTGCAGTAACAAAATATCGATTTGGTCATTTATTAAAAATATCGAATATGCTTCCTCCTTGTCACTACAACCATTAGAGTTCGGGCGGAAAAGGAGGAACACGGAAGTAGAAAGTAAGAAATATGCTTGTTTTTACACGTAGCTATATATTTCATATTCTTACAAATGTTTTTTCTCTACAACAACAAGTGGAAAGAGAAAAAGATGGACGGTTAATAGAGTACCATTATGAATGAAGTGCGTCGTCATTCAGTATACTTTGTTGATCAAATGGAAGCGATTGGACCACTTTATGACATGATTCAGAAAGGAGAATTTGTAGCTTCATACGGTGCACGAGCTTCCGGGAAGTCTACACGGGTGGATCAAGCTATGTTTGAGTTGGAAAGAAGAGGTATGTTTGCATTTGGTAAGTTCTATTTAGTCAATATAACTGTTGCTTACATTTCTTTTTTTCTTCGGAGCAGTATATCTTTTGAAGGAGTAAATATGAAAACTATAAACACATTCTGGTCCGCTGGTCGGCAATTGTCATTAATGCTCCAAAATATTTTAAATTATATGATGTCAAATCTGCCGATGATTTCATGTCAAAGTTTCAGAAAAGTAATTGGAAATCTGATGTTCTCTTCATTAACGAGTATGATACATCACTTGTAGCAGATGATGACGTTAAAACCTCATTTCTTGGAGCAATTCGTAACATTAAAAATTCAAAAAGACACTATGCACTCTGGTCTGCTGTGGTCATCGGTCCCCTAAGTATTTTATTTCTGAAATCAGACAAAATGAATATCTCGCCATTAAACGTTAAGGAGCCATTTAGGAACCCAAATTTCACTCTGGCACAAGTGGAGTCATAATATAAAGATTATGAGGAGACGCCAAATTGACCATTGTGGATGTCATTAAGGATATTTACGGATGGACAAACGGGTATGTGAAGCTGGCCGGAAGTAATATTAAATCAATACTAAAATTTGTTTTTCTGTTATTTGACAGGCATGCTGGCCTTGTCTGCCTTTGTGGCAAGGCTATCAGTTCTTTAGAAAGAACTTGACGAAAGAAGATCTTGATTTCGTACTCTGGTCAAACTTCGTTGCCAGTTTACAACTAACAGTTCGTATGATTACTTATAACACATTTAAAAAGATGGTTGACAATCTTATTACGCTTGATATTGCTAAGGGAGCTTTGGACCTTCTCCGATCTGTATTTTTAGGATTTTTCGATTTTATACAAATTCATGACCTTGAAGAAGAAGACAAGCAGATTTCCTAACTTCTGAGGGGGTGCTTATGAAGGAAAGTGACAGCAAGTTTAGTTACATGATGTCGTCTTTTTTGTTGATGAATTGATTCGGCGACAAGTTATTCTTGAAGTATACTGGTCCGCCCCAAAATGTGCAGTCCCCAAAAAAAACAATGGTTCTCTGGACACTCTCGAAGTTTTGAAGGGGCTATCCGTTGTTTTGACAAAGAAATAATTTCTAGAGCATTTTCTTGGTCATTTAAAGTTGCAAAAATGTACTTATGAAAGGTCAAAAAAATTATCATGTCCCTCGTGAAAGCGTATACGACACTGAGTTGAACAGGATACTTGTTAACTGGATTGTCAAGCAAGATGCATATGAGATCATCCGAAAAGGATAAACATTATTACAGCGTAATTAAAAAATTGTCTCAAACAATCATTCTTGAATTATTAGCAACTTCAACAAAATCAAACCTCAATGAACACTTTTCACGAGCGCTTAAATATGCAGATAATCTGTCTGTAAACGAAATATGGATAGTACACTTTATGTGCGAGGATTGAAACCTCATTACCCACCTATTAATGAAGAATTTGAAAGACTTAACATTGTACACTTTTTGCATAATGAAAAGTTTGATAAAGTACAAATGAGTGCAAAATTCAAGAATACCTTTGGTGCTATTACTTATATTATCAATAAACAGATTATACCTTAATTAATTCATCTTGTATTCTCTTTGCTTGGCTTGGTGCTGATTAGTTCTTAATTTAGTGATAGTTGGAGAGGCTTGCACTACATTTTCATCTTATCGACTGTATTGAAGTATATCTTGGAGACGCAATATTATATTGACGAGGACTATTGGGTGAAGCAAATTCTCTTGAAGGAGGCATAGAATACCGATGATTAGGAACATTATTATACAATAACCTTACTCCTTAAAATTTTTTTTGTCTTAGAATATCTTCGAGCGCAAACTTTTACAAATGCACCACAATTTAATAATCATTTTATTATATGTATTAATATATGTATTTTAATTATATCAAGTTTAAGTAATAAAATCGCATTTCTCGTTATTACCAAGAAAAATAAAAATCACGTGCACGTGAACAATTGTTCACACCGATCACTTTCGCCAAGAACAAATTTTTATGAAATTCGGGACACATTCTGGGATTCATTACGTCTATGCTATTACTCCTCCTCTTTTTCGAAATACCCCTAAACCTTAGGTATAACTGAAAGTAGATGAATAAGAGATAAATAAAAATAAAGGACAACTTTAAAAATCCACCTGAACGTATAGTTTTTGATTTGATAATAATATTATATACAGTATATTATATTTTTATTTTATTTCAGAGAGGAGTAACCAATGACGAAAACATAATAGAAGTAAACAACTACAGGTAGTGAATAACTATACTATTAGGGGTGCTGTGGTTATTAATCCCGTATAACAGGACCTCACCCTCCGGGCGGAACTACTCTAACAGTAAAACTACGCTACTGATAAAGAAAGTATACAGTATATTATTTAATAATCGCCCTATGAAAAATTTTTCAGAAAAATGATCACGTGTCTGAGTTTCTTCGGAATAAAAACTAGAAAAATGATCATTTATCGCCAGAATTTTTTTTATAGGGATCTATCTACTCATGATTTATAATAATTATGCCATAAAATTCATAAAATTTATTTTATATCCGTAAAATTAAAATTTCCATCAAATTATTTAATTTTTTTTTGTAGTTATTGTCGAAACAAATAAAAAGGTTACTATAAATTTTTTTTCTGATAATTTATATATTTAATAATTTGAATAAATTTATTATACAATTATTTAAATTACAAACTAAGAAAATTGTAAAAAATTTTACTACTCTAGTCTTAATGTTTAAATAATTCAAAATAAACATAAATAATAAAAGATAGAAATTTAAAAATATAAAAAAATTGTTAATTTATCAAAAGATAATTTAAAATCCATCTAAGGAATAAATAAATAACAGATAATAGTAACAGGTTAGTAAATAAAATAAATAAAATATCGTAAAAATATAAGAATAATAAAGTAATTAAGAACTTACCATCAGGAATTTCAAATTCATCTTGTTCATTTGAATGAAGATTTGGATTATTATGTATATCATCATCATCATCTATAAATAAATAAATAAATATAATATAATGTAATTAAAGTTAGCTATTATTATGTAAGATTTTGCTTACCATCAATATTAATATTTTGCTTTTTTGTTTGTTTTTGAGTTATTTCTTTTTCATCATCTAAATTTTTTAAATAAATGACGTGTTTAATAAATGAAATTAGTAATTTACTTACTATTTGAATTTATTTGCAACTTTTTAAATACTTTAGATAATCTTTTACTGCTACCTAAATTAGGATTTTGATTTAATATTAAATTCAAATTCAATTATTTCTAACATATAATTCAAATAAATATTACCTTTAAAAATATTAATTATTTTCGATGATTTGCTACTATTCTGTTTATTTGACCCGTTAAAATCATTAACTGAAAACAAATATTAATTTATAAACATTGTTATGAAAAAAATTCAACAATATAGCGTTAAATACTTACTATCATCAGGAATGTTAAAATCATATGATTTACTATGAAATTCTATTATAAAAAATAAACTATTTTAATATTAAATTGTTGATAATTAAAAAATAGCAAAAAATTATTAATACCTTCTTGTTCTTCTATTATAATTAATTTTAATTAAGAAATAATAATGTTAATTTATTTTAAAATAAACAAAAAAGATTAATAAAATATTATACACTTATACCTTCTGTTGCATTTCTTGGTTCAGGTAGATTTTCAAAGTTGTGAATTTTACTTGTAAATAATCTGCTACTCGTATAATTTCCTTTTACTTTATTCATTTCTAAATTATCTATTTTTGATTGGAAAAATTCATCTGACATATTTTGACAATCTATATTAAATCTTTGCATTTTTTTCTCAAATGTATAAATATCAGGCCTTTTTAATGGATCAGCATCCCAACATTGTACCATTAAATTTTTATATTCTAATGGAGTTCCTGACACAATTTTTGGCCTTATACCATTAATAATGTTAATTGCAAGATCATAATCATGTTCATAATTTATAAATGGTGGTTGTCCAGATGAAATTTCCCACATAAGTATTGCAATACTATAAATATCAGATGCAAAAGTACATTCCCTTCCAACAATAAATTCGGGTGCTATATAAGGAAGATTTCCATATATACTTGTTGATGATTTATTAGCAGGTCCACAAAATCCTAGATCACTAATGTCCCAAGCATCATTTAATTGTGAATATAATATGTTTCCAGAATGCAAATCTCTATGAATTGCATTTTCACTATGAATATGATAAAGTGCAAGAATTATTTCATCAGCAATCCTAATTCTATCTTTCCATGTAAGTTGATTATGATTTTGCTGTAAATATTTTCTTAAATCTATATCCCTTTTCGCTATTACAAGCATATAATTTCCATTTGATATATCTTGTGTCAATCCATAACATCGAACAATTTCTGCCCATTTATTACTTATGGTTAAATGTGATTTAGCCTAAATGACATGTTATTTGTTATTATAAAAACTCCAAATTTTATAAATAAATTTCAAATAAAATTATACAAACCTCTTCAAACCAACTTTGATTTACACTCTCAACATTTTCTAACCTTTTAAGTATTACTTCAAATGTTCCAGCTCTTTTTAATTGTTTTTTTTCAGAATCCCATTCATCATAACGTCCATTAATCCAGTCTGCTGTATAAATTTCAGAAAATCCACCTTTTGTTAAATATTTAATATTTATTAAATTGCTGTAAGGAATCCATTCAACTACCATATTTGGCATAAGTGTTTCCATTTGACATTTCTGTATTAATTTATCAATATTATCATTTCCGGATGTCCAATTTGAAAAATTTTCTATTAAATAATTTCGAACACATTTTTCACAATATAATGTAGCTAAACATTCTTGATTACAATTTTCACAATTTCTTTTTGTACCATCATTATGCATAATTTTATTTCGATCATAACTTTTAGTTAATAATCTTATTGCGTAAGTTTTTTCATTTTTTGTAAGACTTTTATCAGCAAGAACTGTTTGTTTTTGAAATTCAAATTGTTTGTGTATATCATTGTAAATATTAGTATCTAATAATGAAAGCGTCCTGTTATTTGCTGCATAAATTAATTCATATCGAAGAGTGGACATAATGTAATTAATAAATTAAAAGGAAAGAAAGAATTGTGTTTCAAGTTCGTTACTCCGAGATAAATTAGTAAATGCAAATTGTTGATCAAAACTTGTACCACTCTTGTACCACCATGTGAATTTAAATTCTGTGATCAGTATTCGACGCTCAAATAAAATAAGTACGGTATTTTACAATTAATAGAAAACATAATCTGTGTGACAAACTTTATTTCTATACTTAATAAATAAATAATTTATTATTTGGTTCAAATTGATTAATATATTCTATTTAAATAAACAACATATTTTTATTTTTATTTTTATATGAGATGCTGTAAAGTACACGCACAAGAATTCTATAGTGCCTAACCAAATTGGTAGATAAACTACTAAAGTACGTCATAATGTATAAAAAAAGCCATCCAAGATGACCTCAACACGATGAAATAGGCAGCTTAGGTACGACCAAGCATTAACGTTAAATGCCAGCCAACCTAAGAAAATCTGTGACCTGATTAGCCTGTACGGATAAAGTTAGTATATAAAATAAAGACTAATTTTATGGAAAACTAAAATTAAGGGTAAGGAAGGGAATATTACAAAGGAAAGGAAAAAAAAGAATACAAATAAGAAATGAAGTAAACTAAAAATTCTGTTAGCTAAAGACCCTGAATAGTTACATCAACTAGTACGCCATCTACTTCAACTTGGTCAAGAGGCAGGAAAAATATTAAAACTCATTAAAAAATCGTACATAAAAAACAAATACTTGTAGTATCTTTTCTAAGAGAGTTAAAATTAGGTTATAGTATTGCTTCTTGTTTATTTATTAAAAAAATAAACCATTTTGCTCCAAATAAACAATAAAAAAAAATATTTCATGCTTTTTTTTCTATTTGATTAAGAATAATTTTTTTTTTTTGTTTATGATTATATTGTTAAATATTTTTAAAATATATTGATTAAGTTTAAAGTTTCCAAATCTTTTTTTTTTAAAAAAGAAATTATACTGTAAATTACTTATTGCGTTGTAATTTTTTTAAAACTCTGTATCATACAGGTATTTTTAACTTTTTTCTCACAAACTGCGACTCTAAGAATTTAAGCTTTTAAAAAATAAAAAGCATTTTTAAATATAATTTTTTAAATGTTATTATATAAAGTAAATTATACTACGAAAGATGAATTAAATTAAGAACCAAGAATCTTGATATATTGTGTTTATTACGTGTATGTATGAAATCTTTTTGACGACGATATACAGTGCGCGCAATACAAAAGCGTTTGTTTGTCTTTGCTGTGCGTCTCAATCGTCTCATGTATAAATTACTGTAGCGATACAAAGTACAAAATCCTGATTGCTCAGAGAGTCGCCAGACCGGAGTAGGTTCTTAATCGAATCAATCAAACTTCGATCATAAAATATTGGCCTCGATTAAAATCGAACTAGGTTTTGATCGATCACATTGATTGATCATGGAAATGTGATGAAAATTGAAAAAAAATCGATTGATCAACCAAGGTTTTTGGACCTGCAATTTCTCGAGGGTAATTTTTAGAATCAATTAAATACCATACGCTAGAGATCTTTTAATAGTTTAAGTAAAAAAAAAAAAATATTGACACATAAAAATTCATTCAGCTGAATATTTTTTGCACTTACTGATTTTGTTGTAGATTTTATTCCGGATTACCATTTTATATAGTTATTGGGTAAGAAGTATTCAATATGAAGATTTATGACCGTCGATGTTAAATGATTGGCCGTTATTGTGCCACGTAGTGGCACAATGGCCAATCATATAATGTTGATGGTCAAAATGGTAATATTGAATACTTCTTACCTAATAATGATTTTATTGTGGCAGACCACCAAGATCATGTTTTAAAAGTTTATTTAAACTTTCTTTTAAATTTCAATTTTTACGCGTCTTTTTCTTTACGCGTTTAAAAGTTTATTTAAACTTTCTTTTAAATCCACTCATTTGTACACATTTTTTCTTTACGCGTTTTTTCTTTTACACATTCTTTTTTATATACACTTTTTAAATACCCTACTTTTTCTTTACACATTTTTTTCTTTCAACCTATTCTATTATTTATTTTAATAATGAAGGAAAAAACTAACAAAAATAAAATAAATAATGATAAAGTATGTTGTTATTATTACCAAAATATTGTTATATTAATTTGCTAATACAATATTTTCTATTCAAGTTTTATTTACCTACAGAAGACGAAATAAATTTTTTCAAAAAGAAGTCAAGAGTAGTAAATACAGATAAATCCACAGCAAATTGGGTTCACCAATTTGAAAACTTTCGTGAAAAAGCTGGATTTACTGGTAAAAGCATAGATATTACTGATAGAAAGGAATTAGAAAGTCAAATCTGTAGTTTCGTAACAGTTATGAAGACTAATTCTGGTGAAGAATACAAGGCTAGATCTATCCTCAGTGCTATACATGCATTAAACCGACATTTAAATGATTTATCATCACTATCTCCAATGGATTTTACTTCAAGAAAACAATTTCCAATATTATATGATGTATTAGATGGCAAAATGAAACATGTAGCAGAACAAGGAAAGGCCAATGTTCAAGGAGCTGATGGTCTTTCTGTTGAAGAATGTAAAAAAATACTGTATTCACCAGTATTAAACATTGACACACCCACTGGATTGTTAAAAAAAGTCTTTTTTTTAAATGCATTATTCTTAGCTCTTAGAGGTGGTGAGCACTATTCATTACAATATTCTCATTTTAAGTTTAGAGCTGATGGTCAGGGTTTTGATGTAAATATTCCTCGAAGTAAAACAAATCAAAGGGGTATTAATGGCTCATTAAATGATGAAAAATTAAGAATTCCATATCATCCAATGATAATGGAAACTTATAACAAATATTTTTCTAAAAGACCAGGTAATGCCGATAAAGAATTCTATTTAAGAGAATATGTGTCTGAAGATGGTGAGTTCAATGTACTTTATCATTTTATGCTATTTTTTTCAGTAATATGACATTTATTAGTTAACTTATTTATTTATTTATAGATTATATTATTTATAATCGTTGGTTTCAAAAGTTTCATGTTGGTGAAAAGCGATTAAAAAATTTTTTACATGAAATTGTAATAGAATGTGGTATTGATATTGGCAATCGAAAGATCAGCAACCATAGCGCCCGAAAAAGTTTAGTAGGAATATTGAAAGAACTTGGTACTAGTGACAATGAAGTTATGGCAATTACCCGGCATAAATCAAATTCAGGATTAACTAGCTATGAAAGAACTAAAGAAAAAATGCAGAATGTTAGTTTAAACAACTTAATGAACGTTCTTATAGATAATGATCAAATGGAAGGCTCGGGTGAGTTTTAATTTTAATTTTTAAATTGATTTTCAATATACTAATTATACAATATGGAATTTTAGATGTTTTAGAACCTTTGCCACATTTTTCAATGCCAGATAAGCAAGCATTAACACCAATTGAACTTAAATCAACTTTTACTAGTGCACGCGAAATTTTTAAAGGTAATTTATTAATAGTTTGTTTTATTTTATTTTATTTTATTGATTTCTATTAATAAAATTAGCTGAAATCAATCAAGAAAGCCGAATTCCATTTTCTAACAAATCCAACAAATTGACAATAAATGAAACTGAAACTTTACAGGATATTTTTAAAGGAAACGGATCAATTTTCAATAATTGTACATTTGTATTCAATAGATAATACTAATATAGTTTAAGTAACAGTTTTTCAAATTGCTGTACAGTATTAAGCTAAACTAATGTAAATGATATTTGGTAAATGACGTAATGCGTTAGCAATATTGAGCGGAAATTAAATAACATGATCCTATAGGGATGCCCAATAAAAATTATTATGCGTCTCGAATTTCGTTTTTTTTTTTGGAAAGATTCGCTTTATAATTTCAGCAATTTATTGTCAGCAGTTCATTGAATTTAGTTCCTTTGACTAATATTAAATTTACATATGCAACTTATTTTTTTATTACTAATCAAATATAATAAAATTTTATACTTTAACTCTGAGTCAAATTTCGTTTTGTTGAGTTACAATTTCTTTCTTTGTAATTTACGTTCTTAAATTTTGATTTCGTAAATAATTATAATATTACCTTCTACTTTTATCTCAATGATGAATAGGTATTATAATAATAAAAAATTTTAATTTTCAGTTTTAACTAAAACAAAAAAATTCACTTAAGTCACACCAAAAAAAAATCACGATTTATTACAATTTATTACATAATTTTATATAATTAGGAATTTTTTTATCCCTTCCGTTTGCAAATAAAACCGATCTTTAATATT